TTTTTTTTTTTTTTTTAAGGGTTGCATGTACTAAGAAAATTTTGGGTGGGTTGGATGAAGTGGAATTTCAAAAACAAAATGCTCATCTCTAGCCCAGCCACAACCACTGTCGCGTGCACATCCCCCTCATATCCTTCGTAGCTGCTCCCATATCCTCCTGCCGGACCAACCTCTCCACCCGATGCGCTCACAGTGTGTTCACTGTCTTCATCCTGTCCAACCACTTTACTTGTCTCTCCTGGATGCCTTGTCATCCCGCCGACACCCGCAGCATACTGTTTCTGTCCTCCTGCTCGTTCCGAATATTCCTCGCTGTTCTCTTCATCCTCATCTGTAAAATACTCATGGACTTCCTCTACGCGGCTCGACACAGTGTAGTCATAGCGTTGCTGGCCCACCAAGGGGAGATGTCCCTTGGTGGCCACATCATAGCGCGATCGGTTGCTCAAGGCAACTGGTGTTTTGGTCGTCGTTGGCCTGGTCTTCATAGGGCTGACGGTACGACCAGTCCACGGCACGGAGCCTTCTCTCCTATTTGCCCAGCTTTCGGACCAGGCGGCGTATCGCGGATCGTGATCGAAGGCCCTGTCTCCACGGTTCTCGAAAGCACGCATTTAGGCTCTGATATGCGGTCCTCTGGATGCACAACCGGCTCTCTGCACGCGATCACATTACTATTGAAAAACCCGAGGACGTCAACGAGGTTAGGCAACTTCACTTCCAATGTCCCTGGTGGGTTGAACACATCAACCAGCGACTTTCCAAACCCCGCGTGTTTGGCCCATCGAAGAGCGACGCGTTTAATGTTTGGTATTCTTTCCCCTCTTCCATTCAGGACCATCGTCAACTCGAAAGTTGCAAACGGCACATTTTGCCCAGTCCACCTCACCAGGCCGCCAACCGGCACAATATTTTCTTTGATGACCACGTATAGAACAAGGTCACTCGATGGTTGTCCGGTCTCCCCCACCTAGTCCAGCATCCAGAACTTGTCCTTGTGGTCAATCACGGGGACATCGTCTCGCCGACTCGCGGCAGTCGTTTCACCAGACGGTTTACGTTCGCCAGACGGTTTACATTCTCCAGACGGTTTGCGTCCGGGCATAACCTCCACTGCAGATCTCCCCTGCTGTGGACCAGGCACACGTTCCTGACCCGCAGGCCCGCCAGTCGTCAACACAGCCTTATCCGGTTCAGAGCCCCGAACACGAGTGGACGGAGTGCCTGTGGAAGGTGCACCCCTCGAAACCGGGGTGCGTTGCCGCTTAGACCCCGGTGCCTCCAGACTCCCAACCCCAGCGGCCGGCGTCCCCTTCGATTTTTTCGGAGATTGTTCCATGCTCCCTGAATTCTTTCTTGCTCGTCATTTACTTGCCTTCCCCTCTCCTTCCATGTTTTGTAGCGCTGCCTAATTTGAAAGCAACACAACACATCACCGCAAAGCAAAAAATCAGAAGGCTGTACAACGTTGGCATAGCACGAGGAGCAGATACGTTCCAGATAGTGATAAGGCAGCATCTCCTTCATGACGAGGCATCCGCGATCGTGTTCAACTCGATCGTGATCGTGCCCGTGGTCAACACGATCTCGTTCGGGGCGAGAGTGACAGGCCAGCTCGATCGTGTTCGACTTGATCGTGAGTCCAGGCTTATCGACTTCGACTCGATCGTGTCCGACTCGATTATGATCGACTCGATCGCGTTCGACTCGATCGTGCTCGACTCGATCGTGTTCGACTCGATCGTGTTCGACTCGATCATGATCGACTCGATCGCGTTCCACTCGATCGTGTTCGACTCGATCGTTTTCGAGTCGATCGTGAGTCCAAGCGATCGTGTTCGACTCGATCGAGTTCGACACGATCGAGTCGAACACGATAAGCCTGGACTCATGATCGAGTCGAACACGATCGAGCTGGCCTGTCACTCTCGCGCCGAACAAGATCGTGTTGAACTCGATCGAGTCGAGCGCGATCGAGTCGATCATAATCGAGTCGGACACGATCGAGTAGAACACGATAAGCCACGATGGAGGTCGATTCGTGTTGGATCCGATCGTGTTGGATCGTGTTGGACACGATCGTGAGTACAGGCGATCGTGAGTACATACGATCGTGAGTTCACATAGAGTCGATCATAATCGAGTCAGACACGATCGTGAGTCCAGGCGATCGTGAGTACAGATGATCGTGAGTTCAGACGATCGTGTTGGATCCGATCGTGAGCATGGCGATTGTGTTCGACTCGATCGAGATCGAATTGATGGAGGTCGACTCGATCGAGTTCGACTCAAACGTGGGGGGCCAGCACGACAGTTCGACACGACCGGGCTGGCAAACAGAACACGGGAACGGGACGGCGTATCCAAAAGCAGACAAACAGAACACGGGAGCGGTGTAGCTAAAAGTCACATCAAACAAAGCAGAAGGATCGAAACCCGACATCGACAATTTCACATCAAACCCGTTGCTTTCATGACACACATTGTCTCAGTCCACACTGTTGCTGAAAGACCCACATTTCTCACACTGTTCATCTTTCGCTGAATAGGAAGCGGCGTCACGAACAAGGCACACCAATCAAGGCACATCAATTGGAAGCCTACATCCATCATCAATTCGAGGCATTCAATTGGCAAGGCAGGCAACCRRCACCCGCAACGAGCRACTAACAGTACGCTCCACCGATCACTAAATACACACACGCACACATAAGAGAGAGAAAGAGAGAGAGAGGTTAAACCGACATCGACAAGCTCACATCAAACTCAATGCTCGCACGCATACACAGTCTCAGGTGTCACTTTTGCTGAACAGCTGAATAGTTGACATGTCCTACACTGTTAATCTCCCATGACCTCCCCCTCGACCTCGCCTATCCTTTCGCCCCGAAACCGTACACTGCGTTCAGGGATGAACCGTACGTCAGGAGCTGTGGACTGCACAGGGTTGCAGTGGAGGAGAAGCAAGACAAGTATCGTGCACGGACGAAACCACATGATCTCGCTAAAGTTCGACTAATGGCGTCTCCTCGACCTCCTCCCAATGCCGGGGTGTATCGACCTGCCCAGCCAGTTTCACTTCAAACCTACCGTTCCTCCAACCATGCGTTAACATAATCGAGTCCCTGTCAACGATGAGCTCGTTCCTGGACACGTAAATACTTGCTTCCGCTGAAGTCTTACTTCTATTTCTTACCGAAACACAAAGAACCCTAGCGAAAGAGAAACGACAGAGATCAACATGTACGCAAAAGTATGACACACTCCTCGTCAAGTTGTCCTGGAAAGGAAGGGGATATTCCTCTAGAAACTGGTTATGTTTCGCGCAGTCCAGCAACTCCATCTTCATCGATGGTCCCCACAATCGCGGTGGACACGACACGTTATGCGCAGTCAACGACAAAGACCGGTCTCTGGTATGAAATGCCGCAGACAACACCGGCATGTGTTTCGTCACGAGGATGTGGTCGAGGAAGATGAATGTCCCCTATTCCTGGCTGGATGCTAGTCGATAATCAGATGCCCAAGGGCAGTCTTTCATTGTGTTCTCCCAGTCCAATTCGGACCATGCATCGAAGGGTTTTTGAAGCCAGGGCATAACGCTCATCCAAGGGTCCGTGTTGAAGTCTTCTCTACAGGCCCCAAGTATAGTTGTCTCCCGCCTTGAACCTCGCAGGTACCTTGCGCTAGCATTTAAAGGGAATGAGTAATCGAAGCGGTGAGCCATCACAAACGTCCTACACACACAGACGATTGACGACCACAACAGGGAGCCTTTGCTAAGGTCGAACGCGCTCACACACCGAGGAGCCATCGCAGTTACACACAACAACCATGCATTGCGAATTCCCAAAACAAAAGGAGAAAACACACAGAACGACAAATTCCATTGGCGGCTATCCATCGTCGCGTTCCTCGCGACGAGGCCGATGACGGACTATCGAGAAGCTCAAACGGATGGCCAGAGGCCTTGGCTCTTGCCGGCGGATGAGTTCGTAGAGCTTGTCGCGACGCCGGCCGGCTTGCCACCGTCGAGTCGTACTCGACAATGGCCAACATGCCGTCGTCGAGTAGAACTCGACAGCGGCCAGCATGGGGCCATCGAGTCCAACACATCGGCAGCGGCATGTCATATGGCCATTGTCGAGTCGAACTCGACAACGGACCGTGGTCATCGAGTCGGACTCGACAACGGCCCCGGGCATTTGTCGAGTTCGACTCGACGTCGGGCATACGACTTGGCGCTGGTCCACCGTCGAGTTCGACCCGACGGCCTGGGTTCATCGTCGGGTCGGACTCGACAATGCCGAGACGAAATCGACGACGCCCTGGGGTCATCGTCGAGTCCGACTCGACAGTGGCCGGAGGCTTTGGCGCTTCCCTGCCGTTGTGTTCGACTCGACGACTGATGGCGACGGCCTGGCCATTGTCGAATCCTACTTGACGGTGACCCCAAGCCGTCATGTATTGTCCGTCTCGACGACGTCACCGGGCCATTATCGAGTTCGATTCGACAATGACCAAAGGCCGTTGTCGAGTCCGGCACGACGACGACCCCGGGCCATTGTCGAGTTCGCTTCGACATTTACCACAAGCCATTGTCGAGTTCGACTTGACAATGGTCTGTGGTCATTGGCGAGTCCGACTCGGCGACGACCCCGGGCCATTGTCGAGTTCGCTTCCACTTTTACCACAGGCCATTGTCGAGTTCGACTCGACAACGGCCTGTGGTCATTGTCGAGTCCGACTCGACGACGACCCTGAGCCATTGTCGAGTTCGCTTCGACAATGACCCCGGGCCATTGTCGAGTTCGACTCGACGATGACCACAGGATGTCGAGTCCGACTCGACAATGACCCCAGTCCACTGTCGAGTTCGACTCGACGATGAACACAGGCCATTGTCGAGTCCGACTCAACGATGACCCCGACCCATTGTCGAGTCCGACTCGATGGTGACCCCGGGCCATTGTCGAGATCGACTCGACAATGCCCCCGTTGAGTTCCACTGGACGGCGGCCTCTGCATGGGCGGAGATGCCACGTGGCAGCACGTGGTTGCTTCAGGGCGGTTGACCGTTCTCCCAGGCCTCCGCTGCTGCCTTCGATGCGGATGCTCGTCACTTCGCTCCGATGCTGCGCGAACCTCCGATGTGCGAGCGAGATCTCCGTTGCTTTCTGCGCGAGCCTCCGATGTGTGAGTCAGCGCACCGCCGACTTCGGACACTTCGCGAACCTCCGCAACGCTCCGTTGCTCTCGACGAACTTGCAGAAATGGGAGATGGTGGGCCCATACCACTATTTATACTTTCTGTGGAAGGCCTGCGGGGGAATGCGGCCTACAAGGTGTGGGTTCGGGACCCGGCGCCTAGGGGGGATCAGTGCCGCGGGACCGATGTTTCAAATCTCGGGAAAATCTGGGCCGTCGATCCGTCGGCTGAGGGCCAGGATCGGGTGCAGGGAAAACAGGTGCCGCGGTGAGAATTGTTGCCCAGCGGGCGACGATTCGAATCCTGGGAAAGTGTGGGCCGTCGATCCGTCGGTTGAGGGCCAGGATCGGGTGAGGGGAGAATTGGTGCCGAGGTGGGAGTTGATACCAAGGGGGGCGACAATTCGACTGCCGGTGCCGTCCGAAACTGTTAAAACGGGCTCCGCATGAGGATCCAAGGGTCTTTTCCCTTACGTCGCTCCAGACAAAAGGCCGGTGCAGTGTCACCTTCGCGTCGACGCGAAAGACAGCTGAGTTGCTCCGCCACGGCAGCTGCATTGCTGCTCCGATTCGTGCCTTCTTCGACTTAGGTGAGTTTGGAATCCTCGCCGCCCCCTCTCCCCCGCCAAACCCGTCTCCCCCCAATTCAAAGGCGTCGCCCCCCCCCCCCCCCCCCCCCCCCCCCCCCCCCCCCCCCCCTCCGCCACAACCCCCCAATCACGCCCATCCACTGCTGCTATTCGTCATTTGTGTTTTTTCAGGACGTCAACATAATTTCTCCCATAGTTTCACAGAGCCGTCCATCATCGAGTCTGACACGACGATCGTCGTGTTCGACACGATGACCGTCGTGTTCGACACGACGACTGTCGTGTTTGACACGATGACGGTTGCGCGCGGGCGTGTACGCCACGTGCTGAACATAACCCCACCATCGTGTTCAATCCGATGATGGTCGTTGTCATCGAGTCGAACACGACCGCGGTGGCACCCCCCGACCTCACCGTCGTGTTCAACCCGATGACGGTCGCTGTCATCGTGTCGAGCATGACTGCAGTGGCACCCCGCAACCCCGCCATCGTGTTCAACCCGATGACGGCCGCTGTCACCGTGTCGAACACGACCGGGGTGGCACCCTATGACCTCACCGTCGTGTTCTACCCGATGAAGATCGCTGTCATCGTGTCGTACATGACAGAGGTGGCTACCCACAACCCAATAAGTTGTATCAATAAGTTATAGAGAATAAGTTACATATAAAATCGGTTATATTTATTTGTAGAGTTAGATTGATGTATATTTGTTCAATGCGGTGATGGTCGAGTGCGGCATGTACAGCACGTTCTGAACATGACCCCACCGTCGTGTTCAACCCGCTGACGGTCGCTGTCCTCGTGTCGAACACGACCACGGGGGCACCCCTCGACCCCGCCGTCGTGCTCAACCTGTGATGGTTGCTGTCCTCGTGTAAAAAACGACAGCATGTCGTCTTCAATACGATGACGCTCGAGCGCGGGCATGTACACCACGTGCTGAACACGACCGTGTCGTCGTGTTCAACACGATGACGGTCGCTGTCATCGTGTCGAACACGACAGAGGTGGCACACCCCGGCCCCACCGTCGTGTTCGATGCCATGACGGTCACTCTCGTAGCCGCCATGCCGGTGGTAATGTTCAACATGCGACGGTCGAACGCGGACATTATCGCCACCAAAGCACCGTCGCATTCAACAAGCAGGCGGTCGCTCATCGTCATCTTCAACACGACGACGGTGGACATGAC